CTTAAATATTAATCATTACAAATCAATATTAAGACAATAAAACTGAAAATAATATTGTTTCCATTGCATCCGTGTAACTATTTCAACATTGAGATAAATTTGACATAAGAACAATGTTACTTTAATGTTAAAGTCGCATCATAGTACAAACTGAGTGAATAATAGTCACAAAGCTGCCAATAAAACATCATAGTTTAACACTACAATAAGCTTTGTTTAAGCGCGTCATCGTACGAAAAGTCAATTTTAGGTTCAAGTATTATTGTTTTAAGAGGTTGTGGTAACTATATTGTGAAGAATAAAGTACCTGTAGATATAACATAGGTTTTATTTAGCAGAAATAAAGTTACATCTTGACAATCTTATTATAAATAGCTCCATAGCAACGTCATAGATAAATCCTAGATTACCACACCCCCTGTACTCTCGTTCGAAACATTTACTGTCAAATAAGTAATAACAGACCATATTAACAAACGTTACGCTTTTTTTTGTTTTTTTTTATTGTGACTCGGCAAAATGACTGCACCGCGCCTGATGGAAAGTGCGAATACAGTCCAGAGATGAGAGTAACGGATGGAAAACACAAATATCTTCACTCCGTCACTATCATTTTGCCGGTCTGGCCAAATGCTTCTTCACACTACGTTTGAAGGACCCGATGTTATAGAGGGGAGGGAATACATGCGCCGGGAGTTGGTTCCACAATTTGATGGTTCGGCATAAGAACGAATTGCCAAACTTTTTAGTGCGGGACGGTATTGAACTGACCGTCCAACTGTGGCAACGCAGTCCGGCACGGGTGGTCCGCTGATGGAAAGGAGAGGAAGGGATAAGGTTGAATAACTCTTCAGAGCACTCACCGTGGTACAGGCGATAGAATACGCTAAGAGACGCTACATCTCTGCGAAGCTGTAACGACTCCGCATGCTCAGTTACATGAGGATTGTTGACAACACGGAAGGCGTAGCGCTGCAGTCCATCTAGGGCATCGAGCAAGTACTTGGCAGAGCCGTCCCAAAGGTGCGAACAGTACTCCATGCTGCTTCGGACCTGAGCTTTATACAACAGGTATCGGCAGCTCTGGAGTAAAAAATCGGTGCACCTTGTTCAGGATGCCAAGCTTGCGCGACGCGGTACAGATGACGCTCTCTATATAGTCTTTGTTGCTCATGTCCTTCCGGATGCTCATCCCCAGCAGGCTGAGCTTGTCCTGCAGCGTCAGCGTTGTACCCTGAAGATGGGGAAGTGGAAGGAATGGGGATTTTTTGGAACTAAACGCGCATACCTGGGTTTTCTTGGCGTTGAACTCAACCAAGTTTCGGGAGCCCCACGACGATATATGTTCCAAAACATGGTTGAGCTCAGCGACAAGTTTTTCCCGGTTTCTCTCAGGGTCCTCCCGGCTGCTTGACGGTTGCTTATAATAGCAACCGTGCAATATAAATAATCCAATTATTCATTAATGTACTAAAATTTAAGGTAAATAATTGATTATAAGATCGGAATAAATAGTTGATTGATGTAAATATAACAACGCTATTGTATTAATTAATTATTTTGTGAAAGATAAAAGAAATAGCAATGAAAATAAACCATTAATCTGTAGGAACACGCAATTTACATTTAAATTTATAGAAAGAATCATTAAAAATGTCAAGACCAGTGGAATGGTAATTTTTAATTATGTTGCAAGAACGACTCATTCTACACAAAGGCTTATTCAGAAGTATATTTGTACGACAAGGTAAGACAGAAAACAGTTTTATGATTCTGTGTCTGGGATAATTAAATGGAACACAGATTTTTATGTGTTCTTGGATTTGGTCACAATTAATGATACCATTCGCAACCTTGTACAGAAAAAGTAGATCAATAATTTTTCGACGTTCATAGAGAGGTATCATTCGAAAAAACGAGAGGCGCTGTTCATATGGGCTTCTATGAGATATGCCTGACGAATTGAATGCTAAATGTCTTGTAAAGGCGCGTTACAAGCTCTCTATGCGTACCGAATGGACGGCGTACATCGGATTCCAGACAACAGAAGCAAATTCAAGAATACTGCGAGATAAACTGTTAAATAATGCAATTTGGATATAAGCATTAAAACTCTTTGTATTTCGCTTTACAAAACCAATAATTCGTGCAGATTTCTTCACTATTGTGTCAATATGTGAGTCAGTCGACTGTCTAAAATAAAAAAAAACACCCAAATCGCGAATCTCTGATACCTCCATTATGTCGGTGTCATCAATTTTACAGTGTGACGGGATAGGATTGAATTTTTTAGTATATTTTATGTGAAAACATTTTTGGCTATTTAATATCATTCCATTACCCGCACTCCATTCCCTGATTCTATTGAGATCACTTTGGAGAAGCGCTACATCATTTAAATTGTACACAGTATTATACAATTTTAGGTCACCAGCATATAAAGAAAACTTACTGTGATGAATTTGGGAAGCAATATAATTGATGAAAATTATGAATAGAATAGGGCCCAGATGCGATAGATGCGATCCTTGCGGAACTCCGGATTGCGTGTAATAGGCATAAGGCAATACATTGTTCACATTGTTAATGAAGTTTTTTAAAGATTCAAGCTTTGCTGGTGGAGGCAAATATACTGCACAGAGGGCTATCTTCTTGATTACTTTATTAATTTTAACGTGTAGGTATAGTTATCCAAAGGTCCTCACAATCACTTTCCCAATTTGCCATATGGTCTGATATTATCTCACTGGACACAGCTACGAACACTGATCCCTGTGATACACTTTATACCTAGAGTCTATAAATTCATTATCATTAATATTAGAGTTTAGCCATGTTTCCGTAAATACAATAACCCTATACCTAATTATTTTGCAATGTTTGACAATACAGGGTGTCCGGTAATGAATGTATCATACTGAAATGGCTTATAGCACAGCTTAAGACTGGTCCAAAATAAATGCAAAACAAAAACCTATCCCATGTAGTACCTAAGGAATGTTTATTTTTTCTTAAAAGTTAATTATTTTTATCTTATTTTAGGTTTTTGTGCACTATGACTACAAATGAATGAATTTATTTGGTTTTTTGGTGTCATAATATTCTACGTTAACTGTGTCCTTAGATAAGCAGTAACTGGTATGACTAAGTAATGAACATTTTTTTTTTAAAGTTTAACTTCATTTTTCAGAGTAACAATATTTTTTTACGAAATTTACGCGCCTTCTGTATAAAAAAAAAGTTTGAAAACCTATGTGGCCAAGTACTCTAAAATAATGTAGGTTTAATGAGGATTTCAAGATAGTATCATTTGTCATTGTATCTAATGTAAATATGAAATTATTGCTATTAATTTACAAAAGGAGTAAATTTTACTAAATAACTATGTTTGCAAAATTGGACCGTTTCTTGTCCTGAATTGTACCCGGCCAATGAGGTTTAATAAAAAAAAAAAAACATTATTAAACATAAATAAAACTTAATTTCTAATATTTACAGTAAATGTTCAAATTGTTTGCCACCGGCTCTGATGCAGGCTCTACATTTCTACATTAAATCAATTGCGACGCGTCGCAATTGATTTAATTGCAATTGATTTTAATTGCAATTGATTTTAATTGCAATTGATTTTAATTGCAATTGATTTCAATTGAATTGATTTTAATTGCAATTAAACTTGCAATTAAAATCAATTCCGGCCGGTTAGGGGCCCCGGTTGGGTGGGGGCCTGCTGGGGGCAGGTTAAGGGGCCCGGTTGGGGGCCCCGCTTGGGGTCCCCGGTTGGGGTCCCCTGTTGGGGTCCCCGCTTGGTGACCCCGGTTGGAGGCCTCGGTTGGGGTCCCCGCTTGGGGTCTCCGATTGGAAACCCCGCTTGGGGTCCCGGTTGGGGCCCCAGTTGGGGGCCCCATTGGGGCCCCCGGTTAGGGGCCCAGTTTAGGGCCCGGTTGGGGGGCCTGGTTGGGGACCCCAACCGGAGCCCCCAAGCGGGGACCCCAACCGGGGCCCCCAAGCGGGTACCCCTACCGGGGACCACAAGCGGGGACCCCAACCGCGGCCCCCAAGCGGGGACCCCAACCGGGGCCCCCAAGCGGGGTCCCCAACCGGGGCCCCCAAGC